GGCTTCCCCGAGGCACACAAAAGCGGATTGGAAGACCGGGAGCGCCCCCTCCCTGACAGAGCCCCGCCGTCACCCTACGTTTCACAACCTCGCGCCGGGACTCTCGAGGCGGCCCGTGCGAGCAGCTGCCGTGAGGGGGGGCGGGAGAAATACAGGTAGATTTTCCACTCCGTGGAGCGGCAGCGCTCCAGGTCCTCAGCACGTTTCCTCTCTCTCCCCCCCCTTTGCCCCACTTTTTGCAGCCTCACGCGCGGGTCTTCCCTGTCTCGAATCAATCCTCGCAGGTAGGTGCTAAAATTGCAGGGACTGGTCCGTGGGCCCAGGCTGAACAGGGAAGCTGCGCAACACGGCCAACCCTCTGATCGATTCAGGTATCCATATTGAGCAACATCCAGCACGGGATACTCCCCTGCCAGAGGGTGAATAACTAGAGAGAGTATGGAAGGACCAGAGTGCATCCTAGGGATGCTCTGTAGTGCCTATGAAATTGTGTTTCTAATTCTGAACCCCTTGACTCAATTCTCATTTCCTTTATAACTTTACGCTGAGGAAACCACACTTTCAGTTGCACCTCCCTTTGCAGGATGAGAATAATACCACTACCTTGAGCTAAGGTGAGACATTTAAAGAGTAGTTTTACCAGTTCCACTTCCCCAGTGAGTTTTCATGGGTAAGCGGAGATGCAAACTCTGTTCTCCAGAGTCCTAGTCTATCAGTCTATCTGCTACATCACACTGGGAATCTATTATGGTGATCAGATATGCCTAATCAACATGTACCAAAGCAATGCTGTATTCCTTATTCCACACCAAACAGATGGTTGGCTACTGGTAAAGAAGATGAATGGTGATACCATTATGCCCTCTCTTCCTCCATCCACCACCCACAGTGGGTGATCAGCACTGTCAGAACAGTGTTGATCAGAGTTAAACATTTCTTTGGTGCAGTGCACACATTAAGGTACAGAGTGGGGAAAGTTACTCTTTTTTTGGCCTATAGCTCTCAGAATACCACTGGCCACAGGGAGTGTCATCTCTTATTTCTAACAGTCTCACAGGTGGCTGCTCAATGATAAGTTGAGTAGTGGCCATGCTGGGGCAGGGCCAAATGGTAGGCAAGTTCTGAGTGTTAAGAAACAGGAAGGAGGGGAGAAGTGAGCCAAAGGTAGACAGATGAGGATGGAGACGCTCACTTGAGAGAAAGAATGAGGCCCCTTGAAAAAAAGAATGCTAGGAGAGTGACTCCAGGTAGAAACAAAATGGCACAGTAATCCATGCCTCTTTCCCTGTGAATGGCCCACACTGCCATAGTAGAGCAGTTCATTTTGGGGAGCAATTTAAAGTGCTTTAAAGTCCTAAATAGCTCAGTACAACTTGCAGGTTCTTCAAGCTGCTTGTAGCAAAGACCAACAGGCTGCCAGGAGATGTTTCAATGGCTATTGGCTTCAGCTCTGCTCTCAGAAACAGATCGCAGTGGACACAGGTAACATCAAGGGAATGTATGACGGTATCAAGCAGGCTTTAGGTGCAATACAGAATAAATCTGCTCCTTTGAAGTCTGCTACAGGTGTGATCATCCAGGACCGAGTACAGCAGATGGAACGCTGGGTGCAGCACTACTCTGAGCTATAATCTAGACCAGCGGTCCCCAACCTTTTTCGGACCATGGACTGGTTGGGGGGTGTTGGCTCCGCGCGCAGACCAGTTGAGGGGTGGGGGCAGCCCCGCGCTCACTGGTGGGTGTGTCACACTCGCAGGTGGGCATGTCATACTTGTGGAGGGGCGTGTCAAGCTCATGGGTGGGCGTGTTGCGCTTGCAGGTAAGGCGAGGAGTCCAGGCTTGTGATCCCTGTTTGGGATCTTTTTTGCTGTCATGCTAAAGCACACCTTTGGAACTGCAGCAGAAGGTGTCTATCTCCGGACTAGATCAGATGGAAAGCTCTTTAATCTCTCTAGATTGAGAGCAAAGACCAGAGTCCAGCTGAAATGCATGCAGGACTTCCTCTTTGC